GGACCAATGGCCTCTGGTGGGGCGTTTCTGTCATGTCAGTCACTGGGATTTTAGCAGCGGATCCTTCTGGTCCTGTAGGTTGCAGGGTGGGGCATTCAAGGATTGAACTTGTTCCAGCACACCCATGAAGGCTGGATCGAACTGGGATCTGGGGAGTTTGGGAGGCAAGTCAATAAATTGGCCTCTTGGTCATGTTCCTCAGGCTGTTCCTGGGCAGTTTTTGCAGTGTGATGAGGTGCATTGCCCTGCTGGGGGAGGCTGCTGCCCTCATTGTTGCTTAGCCTGCAACAGTGATTAGGTGGCTGTCAAAGTAGTGTCCACATGGATGGCAGGAAACAAGGTTTCCCAGTCGAACACTATATTTTAGTTTAACAATGTTATTCACTTAAGACGTCAGTGGTTTTAATGTTGTGGCTGATCAGTATTTTTTCTAAACGGTTTTATCTGTAATTGAATCTTGACATTTGACACAATCAGGAGAAGTTTTCCAAAGCAAGTACATTTTCGTCAGGGACTTTTCCTCAGTTTCCACCCTACTCTGCCTTGCTGCTGAAACAAGCAAATCCCTACATTTTTAAAGGGAGCCTATATAATTTTGAGTAGATGCATCCATTAAAAGATTGACCCACTAAAAGGTTTTACCTCATCAGTCTTTGGACCATAGGCTAATGCTTTTTTTTTTTTTTTTGCTATACGTGTACCTGACATTACTGATAGATTTTCCCTGAATTTTGGAGTCTTTTTTGCTTGTACACTTAATTAAGTGCTTGGTTTCAAGTTACAAAATGGAATTTGCTGATTTAGGTAACCCATCTAAGTTGCAATCATTTCTTGATGTGTTGGGTTGACATAATATTGTTGCTGATTGCATCAACTTGATACAATGTGTCATTTAAACGGAAATTTTATTAGTTGACTTAAAACTAAATTCCAACTAAGGTAGCCCTAATGAAATATCTAGTTTTGTAACACACATTGATTTGTTAGCAAAACTCAGTGCCTTGCTCCAGTATGGCATTCCACTGAAATTTCCTCACAGGGTGTACAATGTATGCCAGGAACCCTTTTTATTGGGTGTCCACATTTTTAAACCCACAAAGTAAATGCTTTAGGTTTCTGTTCTAGCTCAGCTTGTTGACTCTAAGCATGTAAAAATTCGATGTACTGATATATTTCTAATGCACCTTAGGGATAAAATTGATCATTTAAAGAGGCAGTTTTAAAACTTTAGAACACTGTGAGGATTGAAAGTGAGCAAAATGAAGCAGTCTCTCATTTCTAGTCCCTATACCATCCTCCCTCTTCGATCATCACTGCTTCCACCCAGCAGACAAACCTGTTTCTGAGCTTAGAGACATCGGTCAAGTGTCTGGTTTCACTCGACCTCCCATGCAACAGCTCACAGAAAGCAATCAATTATTCTCAGAAATGTGTACCCCAGATTGGGGACTCTTAATCCTCTTCAGCTCAAGAACCAAATTGAGTAAATTTAGGCGTTTTGATGCCCGGGTTCATTAGAACATGTTCGTGCTCTTGACATGTGAGGAGCACAGAGAAGAGGACCGTGAAAAAAAAACCCCGGCAGCAGCACTTGGACAAAATTTATGTCATGTATCCACCAGACAAACCTCTAAACACTTGCTCATCCTGTGCAGAAATACTGTACAAACATGTCCTCTTGGCTGTGTAACAGGCACCTACCCTGTGAGATTCATGTGAGCTTGTTTGGTCTGAAACATTGGCTTATTTATAGCTTCCTCTTCTCCTCTGGGGGTCTGACTCAGAATGGCGCTTCTACATAGTCAGGAAACTGCAATATCTGGCTTTAGAAACTCACAGAAGGATGACGCTGCCCGGCTGAGGTGTTCTTATGCAGCTTGACATCAGATTGCTCTACTAATTTGACATATGTGAATGTAATGTGAGAGCATTGTGAAAGGAGCAAAGAGAAAATTAAATGTAGCGACAACCACTCTTTACCTCGTAGGATGTTTGGTATATTGCGTGTATATAATATGAAATGTGCTGAACAGTGAATAGTTGAGCTAATAATTGTTCATACTGTTGCAGAATTTTGACTTTTAATGATTTTTTTTGGCTGTACATGACTTGAAATGCCAAAAAAAACAACATATAAGATACATTTTGAGATAGTAATGAAAAATTTGAATGATTTCTATGTATATTTTTACATTTTTAGCAATAATGTCATGTCCAAAATTCTTCATACCCACTGAAACTGTCACAAATTTTTGAGACAGTGCAGGTTCTTTACCACTACCTCAGGGGTCTCAAACTCAACTTACCTGCAGGCCGCTGGAACAGAGTCTGGATGAGGCTGGGCCGCATCACGTATTCCACAAAAAAGGGTTTCAAGTATTCCAAAAAAAATACAACTGATCCAATCTTCTCAATCTTTATTAATAACAATTCTGAACATAAAAGGTTCCTCAGAACATAGGCTTCTCTTACCTACTCCTCGCTACCAGAGACCCGGCAGCGCTTCCTCTTACACAGCTGAGCCACATTTGGCTTGAGGGAGAAAGCAATTGAGACCCTCAGTATGGCTTCAGGGTGCTCATCAGTAAGTTTGGATCTGTACTTCGACTTATTAAAGTTCATGGTGGAGAATAGACAGAAAAAAACAAACCAAAAAAACAGCAGATTTGCACTGGGTGACAGGATATATTGTCTGTCCACTCAGTGACACTCCCAAATCATGTTTCAAGTGACTAACATGGCTGTCACGAGCCTGAGCTATGGTAGCCCACAAGTGATAAAAAAATATAAAACGCCCAGAGCAATGATTCGCGCGCGCGTGTGTGAGAAAAATGCGTGGGCCGCACTAACACTAAACTTTGATGTCAAGTAGGGGGCCACAAAATTGGCCCGCGGGCCACCAGTTTGAGACCCTTGCTCTACCGTGAGAACAGCCAATGCAATAGTTCTCTTGTCCGTTACTAGTCAATTGCAAGTCATGGCTAAAACCGAAGACCTAAGTGAGCTGCTGTATGGGGTCCATCACTGAGAGATAGGTGGACACTGTAGTTGATCACAAGATGGGGAAAATGTATAAAGTTAAGTGTTTTCCAGTGTTATTGACCACAATGCCAAGAATAATCTAGAAGTACAAAGAGTTCCACAGTGTGGAGTCTCAAATCCAAAGGTGATGCTTGACTTTTCCAAGAATTTTATCGCTAGAGGCCAATAAGAGTCCAGGGACCACCACCAAGACTGTCCTGATTAGTTTGAGCAATTCTAGTAACTAACATTGACAAACCAGCACAAGACTGGTGTCCATGGACACGACCAAGGAGGACTCCACTTCACCAAGACATTCAGACAAAGACAAAGAAGAAAGCGTTTGGTCATTATTTCTGTGGTTGGATGAGATGAAAATGGACTTGTTTGGATGTGGCTTTCGTTTGACTGGAGGAAGAAGAAGCATTCAACCCCAAGAACATCATCCCTATACGGTCAAGCGCAAAAGTGGGATTGCAATGCTTGAGGGGTGCTTTTCAGCCAGTGGACCAGGCAATCCCGTTGAAACACAAGGCATAGTTATTATCCATTCTGGCTTTGACTAATGTACTTCATCACATGTTGGATGCCAGGAGGAAATCAGTGGCCAGAGAATAAATATGCTCATTGAAGAAACGAATGTCTAGCGTGAGATGCGACTTTGTGTGACGGTGAGTTATGCTGTTTCTCAGAAGAACTCGAGCCCTTCAGGACGAGCTTTCTCGTGGGTTTTTGTATCTGCGAGTGTGCAAGAGACCAAAGCGAATGTCTCCCACAGCTAATGCTGAGTCTATTACTGCCTCTACCTGCCAGCCTGGCCCCTTTGTCCTTGTTTCTTTCAGAGAGAAATGATTCAGCCTGGTGAGATCATCGGCCCTGCTGTTGTGCCAGTGTCAGTATTGTAATGAAAATGCCTCAATCACAAAAAGGCCTTTGCTGTATCAGTTTACCGTGTTCCCAGCTAACTTTTTTTTTTTTTTTTTTTACAAGCGCACAGTAGCTCCAAATGTCTCACACACACTCTCACTCTCTCACACTCTCTTTGCCCAGACCTCATTAGTACAAAATGCTGCATCAAGTACTTTTAAACAGCAGATTACAGGCGTTTTATTACATTTACACATGACTGTACAAAGCCGCCTCAATCACAGTCTCACACCTCTCTCCTCCATCAGTGGCTCCGAGGTACATCTTGACCAGAGTTGTTCAATCTCTCACCTCTACCTCGCTCTCAGCTCTCTCTTTTTGCTGTGTACCAGCACACTGATAGAGCAAACAAGGAGTTGCAGAGATGTTTCAGGATAAACTATTGTCAAGGTGTTGGTTACAGTAAAGGAGTATGTCACTTTTTTCTCTTCTTCTGTCCAGAGTTGGTGCAGGGAGTTGATTCTTAGTTGCCCTTTGACTCTGACTTTGTGTTCCAACAAACATAATCGATTTGATTCACATGTGGGGAGGCAGTGAGGGATCCTTTTGTTGTTGCAGTGTTGGCAAGCTGGAAAAAAATGCAATAAAGCCTTTCTCTGGGCTACATGTACACGAATGTGTGCAGGGTTTTCTCAACTTTTATGGCTTTCTTTTGTGTAGACCATTTCTTTTATACAGAAGAACAGAGCAGACTTAAATCAACCAATCAACTTGCAAGGCGCTAGTTGAGAATAGTTTCGGCCCCTTTATGAGTATCAACAAGCTATGATTACCCACAATCCCCTCTGCTGTGTATCTTCAGAGAAACATAATTCCAGCCTAAGTCAAACTTTCCATGGATAAATCCCCGTGTTTAAGTTTATTGGGATGTCAAAAAAAAAGTAGCTAGAGATGCCCTGTGCGGCATTTATGAGCACCAGGCAAAAAGCAGTTTGCAGGGGAAAAGACTGCAGTACAGAGCAAAATGGGAATTTCACACTGGAATAAATAAAGGAACCGTTCTGAATAAAGAATGCTGAATTATGTCTCTTTTTGCCTTTGTGTCTCTGCAGCATCCTTTTTGCAGACATCGAGGGTTTCACCAGTCTGGCGTCCCAGTGCACAGCGCAGGAGTTGGTGATGACTCTCAATGAACTTTTCGCCCGCTTTGACAAGCTGGCAGCGGTAAGGATGCAATCGTATGCACACATACATGATGTCCACAAAGTGTGCTCATGTTTTTATCCTAAGAGCTTCAGTAGAAAGCAGCTGAACTTATCTCATTATTTGTTTTTTTTAGTTTCACATCTCATCCAAAAGTCCCAGATATATATATTATCATCCCAAAAGTTATGGCTGATGGCTTATTGAATGAGTGGTTGTAAAAGTGCCAAGTCAGGGATGGCTCAAGATGCTGATGGTGGTGAAACTGTCTGAAACTGTATTATAAGTACCTGATAATTGGTGTTGTGGACCCCCTTCTCAGCCCACTGCATTCACCTTTGACTGAGGCTCTTAGGATTATCATTGATGGCAGAGAATCTAGAAAGCCATGTTGCTTACATTTGATTAATTTTTTATATGTTATATGTATTTTTCAATAATGTGTGCTACGAGTTTTTACCTACATACAGTGGAGTATATAGTACAGTCGTGACTCGATACTCCAACCCCTAACAATCCGAAAACTTTGCTATCTAACAGGTTTTTAGGGAAAACGAATAGAACCCATTAAAAATAGCCTTCACATACCGACAGCCTTGGATTCCAACTCTGACGTGACATTCTATGCCACAAATAAGGATAACGGTGTATTATCTGACTTAACAATTTGACAGATTGGCGACGTTTGGACTGTAGGATTTAATGGTCAATTCAGATTTTTTTGTGAAAAATTTCTTGTGAGTTCGTTCACATTTCCAATTAAATGCGACTTGTATGTGATCTGCTGTGTGAACTTCATACGACCCAAAAGTGTCTCGCATGCGCAGAAGAGGACACTTTTGGGTTGTATGAAGTTGGTTGGTAATGATGGAGCATATCTTGCCTGCCACTCCCCTGCCACCGCCGCCACCACCACATTGTACACGTTCCGGCCACTTCCACCCCGGGGGTGTGCCCGACGGGGTGGAAGTGGCCAGAGCGTGCACAATCGCACCGGTCAATTAGGCGTGAAATCCAGCGATGTGTAGTGTTCTATCAATACACTAGCTATTATAACAACTATAAACAATAAATATGAACAACAAATTACCCTTCAAGCATCAAGCCCTCCTTGTATCTCGACCTCCATCTTGACAATCCAACAGCCTTGCTATCTGACATAAAAGAAGGTTTTACATTTAATGTCGGATTCTCGAGTCACGACTGTACTTACAAAAATGTACCAATTCCAACGTGGTGTTCGGTTTTTAAGTGTAACTCCAGCAAAGCCTGACTTGTTCAGGCAGGATCCTGTGTTCCTCTGGGTGTTGCTTAAGAAAGCGTTCTCCGCTATATTTATGTGCGACATTACTTTGAGGTCAGACAAGTCTGATTCCATTTCTATTTTTTTATTTTTCTTCCTCCTGATGACTGTGAAAGATGTAAATAACTCCATTATTAAGGATGACTCACTTCAGTAACACATTAAGAGACTGACTGAACATCCTGTACAAGATAATGGGTCGACAGGAAGGCTGTGAGATCTAAAGGGTCACAATTCACCTTTTACTGCAGTCTGGTGTTTATTTAATCTACCTGAGTGTGCGATATGTCTATAGAGATGCATGTAGATTGTGCAGGTAAGTGTTGTGCAGAGCTGCTGGGCCTTTTGTCTCATCATTATACCAGTTTGAACAACCTGATGTTGTGGTCTTAGTGTAACGGTGGCGTTTTTATCCATTGGTGCATGATTTTACTGGTTCAGTGTCTGGCGTCACTAAATTGCATGTTCACATGAAACCATGACACTATAAACTGGCAAAAGACTAGTTAGGAGGGCTTAAACTTCAAGGACTGGAGGAGTTCAGACTCTGAAGCTTGAGGAGCAGTAGAGGAAGTAACAGGAGGAGCAGGAGCTGCATGGCAAATAGGACCTGCAGGAGTCTGATATTTATACTATCTCAAGTGTCTGAATATCTGATGTATTATTGAAATGCTGCTGCTGTAGTGCTGAATAATCCATGACTTAGTTCTTATCTTGCAGGAGAATAATCAGCATAATATTTTAAGTACATGTTGACTGAGGAGGTGCTGAGACAATCATCAGACAAATCATGAAGAACAAATCCAACGCTGCTGCCACCAGGGATCAGAGCGTCCCATTAAAAATGAATGGAGCTTTCAGAGTGAAGCGGTTGCCTTCATGCAGCCAGTGTGGACAAAGTCTCACAGACAAGAGACTGAATACTGATCATTTACTACAAATCTCATTGTCCTTTCTGTTCAAACCCAACAGTTGTGGGATTTTTTACACTGAACAAATGACAAAACTGGAAAATATGAGGTTTAAAGTAGACTCGTGTACAAAATGAAACAATCCTGTGTAAAGTCTGTGTAATTACAACCCATGAAAAGAACTTATGAAACATAACAACTGGAAGGAAAAAAGACTGCGTGAAGCAGGCAGAGAAATATGAGCCTGTAAGGTGGTGTGTGAGGCTCGTGGGTCGTGGTGACCTGGCAAGCTAAAAATGCAGACCTCAGCTGAATTTGACATTAAAAGACTTTGGTGTTAGGTGTTGGATGGAGACAGCACAAAGAATTAAGGGAAGGATGGTGGGACAAAAGATAACGGCGATGAGCAGCAGGTGTATAACGAGGACAGAAGACAGGAGGCTGCTTTGGAACTGGCCTGCTGGCTTTTATTAAAAAAGGAAGTATTTGAAAACTTGCCACAATTTAGATCAGATACTCCCAGATATGAATACATCCAGACATAATGGTGGCAAAAATGTTCTGATCAGTGTTTTAAAAAAGAATGGGTTGTCGTTGCACAGTAGAAGGAGGAAAGTTTGGGAGGAGTTTGGCAGAAGTATATAAGAAGGTGTTATGCATTGTTTAGTTGGTTAAAATCTCTAGAGTTTGGTCATGTTTGTTCTTAGAGCTTCTGTAATGAATAAACATTGTTCACATCAGACTTTGAGATCTGTCTGAAAACTTTTTCGTAAGAACTTTTGAGGACACCAATAGTTTATCCACAAGCGTTACACAATGCTACCTGATCATCCCACAGCCAGCAGATTGAGTCAAAACACAACCAAATTGTGAGATCTTTTATAAACAATGAAGAATATTGCACATGAGGCCTCCCCATGTCACAGGCTGAGGTCTAATTAAGGAGCATTTATTAAATTGGATGAGCCTGGCCTTTGAGAAAAAATTCTACTGTGCAATTTTTTTTTTTTACTTTGGGATTTAGTCATAATGTTTTACTATACTAGAATTTTACCCCCTTCAGGCTTCTATAGACAATCAGAGGAGGAATAATGATACTTTGGCTGAGCCAGTCCATGACTGTAAACATATGCAAGCTGCTGAGCAAGAGGACAAGTTTGCTTTTTAGGGGTTACAAGACAATAAGATTAGGAAGTGGTGATTGAAAAGCTCAGTTTTCTTGTGAGATCATCAGAGGAAGGCTAAGACAGAGGAAGAAAAGATGCATTTTAATGTAACTTGGCTTATTGTGTGAGCGGACTGTCGTCTTTATTTGGTCCTTATTTCAGTGTAGTTATTGAATTTAAAAACTACAGATTAAATTCTAGTTCGCGGGCATCTTAAAGGCAGCTGAGATGCAGTTAAAATATGTGATCCAGAGTTATTTTGAAAATAAATTTGCACAGAGTTTCAGTGTTTGAAGAGCACATTTCAAATATCTGTTTTGGATCTGCCATCAGTGTCCTGCAGCCCTGCATTTGTTTGTACATTGTTGTCTATTATCTGACCTTCATCAGCAGCACATTCATGAATATTCATCATTTTCTTCTTATCCAGAAAGCGCCGTTGTTTGTCCAGCTAACTCTCAATGTATGTCATTTGTTTATGAAAGGTGAAATGATATGCTAATCAATATTTATAAGCGAATCGGGGCATAATGGCATTATAAAACTTTTATGTCTGTGCCAGATGTACCTTGTACCAACACACACACACACACACACACACACACACACACACACACACACCTACACACACACACACACACTCACACACACACACACACTTTCTCCCTCTGTGCTCCGAACACAGTGGCTCTATTTTCCCAGAGCCATGTGCTGCAGAGACACTCAGGTGGTCATCATGAGACACAATATTCTCCCGAGCACTGAGGAGCCGCACACACACACACACACACACACACACACACACAGAACATGTTATGGTTGTCCTACACACTGCTAGGAGATAATTGAGATCTAAGGCAAACGTGTAAAATCTATGCAACGATCCAGTTGTTGTTGCAATCTGTGTCCAAGTAAGAGTTTTGAAGCTGCAAATACTGAATCTTCTCTCCGCAGTTTGAAGGTTAGAGGATTAAAAAAAATCTCTCTCTTACTTTTAGTGGCATCTTTATAGGCTTCAGTGCTCTTGGAGAAACAAGTGTGTTCAAATGCCGGCTCACTTCATTGTAAAGTTCATATTAAAATAAGATAATCCTTGTATTAATTTTACAGTGGGAAAATTTGCAGAGTTACAGCAGCAAAGGGGTTCGTACTACAACATAGGGAGCATCAGCAAATAGATAAATAAACATGAAATATGCATCAGTGCTGTTGATAATGTGCAGATTCTGCTATATGTAGAAATTTGTGATAGTGCACAGATTCCTCTGAATGTGAAATATAATGTAGTTTCACAAAAACATTGTTCTTGCACCAGGTCCTCCTATGCGTAAAAAACGCTGACATTGCACAGATTCTTCTAGAATGCACAAAGTGATTTGTTTTGTTTTGTTGTTGTTCCAAAAATGTTTTTAGATCATCCTCAGGTAATATGCATCCCTCCAAACTGATGTCAATCTGCACGTGACCAGACTTTAAAAAAAAACAGGGACTTTCTGGGACCAAAGGCAAACTCATAATGTGTTTTCAGAAAACATCTTTGTGGGTAAAACTGTAGAAATTTAACCAGAAAATGCCACTTACTCTATTTTTATGTTTGATTATGTGGATGGTTATTTTATTACAAGAGCAAAAAATACCTTCCATGAGCACATCATCTCTTAGGTGGAAAAATAAATGGCAGCATAATAAATCCTGATTTCTGGTTAGAAAGGAGACTCTTTACAATACATTCTGAGGCTATTATTGGGTGCAGTGGCAGGGAAAAAGATTTTGACTTGCAGTCATTTTGCTGTTTGTTTCAGTTGTGACATTTGCCTTTTAGAAGTTTAGCTTCTGTATTAGGTCTGTATTTACAGACTCTGCACTCTGATGTTGTGACTGCAGCTCTGAGTGTTTAGCTGTGTGTGTAGCTGAACTTTTGAATTCTGTCATAAAATGAAACGTGAAAAGAAGAAACAGTAAAATGGATCCAGTTAAATCACCACAATGTTGTTTGTTTTTGAAGGGTTGGGTTGAAAGAGTTGGTTTGTAGAAGACATGTTGGTTTCAGTGCATACAGTAGTCCTTCCTGCACACGGTACACTGGCACACGCATGACTGGGAAAATCCCGCCACCCAAAAGAAATGTAAAAGTGAAGTCAATTTAAACCCACCACGAAGTTGTTCTGTTCTGTTTACTGTGACAGGAGAATCACTGTCTGCGGATCAAGATCCTGGGCGACTGCTACTACTGCGTGTCGGGGCTGCCGGAGGCGAGGGCCGACCACGCCCACTGCTGTGTGGAGATGGGGCTGGACATGATAGAGGCCATCTCGTAAGTTGCCCCCCAAGTTAAAATATACCCATAACTATGTCATATATACCTACAACTATATTTGGTTAATATGTTTGTCAAATTAAAATTTCTGAATTTAGAAATGGTAATGGGGATGTTCTTGGGCCAAAGTCAAACACATTTTTAGTGAATGTTGGACTCTGCCAAAGTTGTCTCTGATCCAGTTGGTAATATTCATGCATGGGATCTCAAGGTGCAGCCTGGGCAAGGACTGTGTCCACTTTGGGAACCTCAGAGTTGCTTTATGCAGATGAAGTGGTTCTGTTTGCAGCTGCATACAGTTCCATCAAAGGTTCTGGTTTCCTGCCAGAAACTGGAGGATTGCTCCCTCTGGGTTGAGGGGAGTTGTTGCCCGAAGGGAAGGAGATTATTTCTATTTCTATTTTGGCATCTTGATTACGAGTGATGGGAAAATGGAGCATGAGAAGTACAAATGGACTGAAGTAGTGTCAGCAGTAATTTGTTGTGCCAGACTGCTGGTGAAGAGGGCAGAACTCTCGATTTACCAGTTGATCTTCGTTTCAACATTTACCTTCAGTCTTGAGCTCTGGCTAGTGACCAAGGGAATATAATCGGGGATGCTAGCACCTAAAACTGGTTTCCTCTGTTGGGTGACCAGGCTTGACCTCAGATGTAGGCTGAGGAGCTCGGAGTCGCTGCTTATTCCTGTCAAAAGGAGCTAAGCTGGTTCAGGCATCTGATTAGGACGCCTCCTGTGCAGCTTCTTTTGGAGGTTTTCTGGACAATTTGAAGGAGACCCCGAGGAAACCCAGAGCTCTCTGAGAGGACTGCATATCTTATCTGGGCCAGCCTTTAGATTCCCCTGGAGGAGCTGGAAAATGTTGCTGGGGTGAGGGACGTCTGGAATGACCTGCTTGGGCCGCTGCCACTGTGAACAGACTTTAAATAAGTGGAAGAAAGTGGACGGATATGTGCTGCACAGTAGCAGGACAGTCTGTGGGACGCCCATTAGATGGAAGAATAAGGACTTCCAGATGCAGTTTTTGTTATTTTTAATGTAAACTCCCAAAAATGTGAGTGGTAATAAATACTATAATTTTATTACACATCCAAATATTGGAGGTGTTTTCCAACTTTTTCACGTCTGTTAGCATCTGTAAATAAATCAGAGCACAAGACTGACATCTGATTTCTGCTGTTATTGTTCTCTGGGGTTAAAGTTCAAGGCTTGAGAGGTAGTTAAACACTTTTTAAAGGGGTTGAACAGTCCTCAGTGCTTTTAATTTTTTCCCAACAGAGCCTTACGTTTCTAAGCCATCGCTACTGATCGGCCTTACTCTGCTCTTACCATTATCTCTCTCTGATCAGTACAGCAACTTTATCCCTGCATGCACTGGGCTATTACTCAAGGGAACAGTTTGATATTTTACACAAAAAAAAGATCTCCTCTCTTTCTTGCCAAGTGTTAGAAGAGAAAATCTATACCACTGTCATGTCTTTGTGCTAAATGTGAAGCTACTGCTGGCAGCCAACAGTTCCCAAATTGTTAAACTTCTCCTTAAAAAGACCAACTTTTTAAGTAATTTGTCAAGCAAACAATATCAATCAGTTGTAGTTTCCAGCTTGTCAGATGTGGGTATGAGCTACTAAAAGGAAATAAAATCTATCTTTTTCGTGACTTTAATTTTGCAAAAGCACCACATTCCTCGTGGTTGGTGGAAACATGAGCATGTCAAAAGAAGCTGTCTTCACTCAGATCTTTAAATGCTTTTCAGAGTCAGTTTTGTTTCACCAAGACAAAACCATTGAAACTGTTTCTGTCAGTCTTTATCCGTGAGTCTCCAGTCTGTGACCACCGTGTCAGTTGTCATCAGTGCACATGTCCTGCTTCAGTCAGAAAACGGCTAAAAACATTTCAAAGGTAATCAGTGATTGATTATTTGGGTCAAATTAAATTATTCACAGGGCAAAGGTCTTAGGATAAGTAAGTATCTGTTCTTATCTTGTCCTCACTCTTAACAGATCCTAGATTTGCAGATAAACAGTGCTTTCACAGAAATCACACAATTTCTTAGTTTTAGTGGAAGAAAAACATGCAGATAGTTTCAGTTTCATGGACAAGCTGAAGTTTGATTTGTTTAATTCTCAACAATCTCTTCTTCTATCTAGAATTTAGCAGGAACGCACTAATCTGATAACGGTGTCCCAGTTTCACTGCAAGTTCCTGGAAAGCGATGCATTCACAGACCTTTTGTTTTCCCAGTGTTGCTGTGTCGAAATGACTCTGTGGCCAAGAAGATATTGCTTGTTTGGAAACTTTAATAAAAGATCCAGCTAGAAAGATATCAGTACTGAAAACAACAATCTAGAATTTTTAATTTCGTTGTACTTTGTGTATGATGGCAATAAAATCTTTCTATTCTGTTCTATTCTATTCTAGAATAGGGATCTCTTGGTAACCTCAGCACCAGCATCTACCAGCAGAGATGTTGGTGAAATCAGACACGATAATTTCGCAGATTACCGCCCAAAAACTTGTTTCCTGTGTCTTGCAGGCTGGTACGGGAAGTGACGGGGGTGAACGTGAACATGCGAGTGGGCATCCACAGCGGCAGAGTTCACTGTGGGGTGCTGGGACTCAGGAAGTGGCAGTTTGACGTCTGGTCCAACGATGTCACTCTAGCAAATCAGATGGAAGCTGGAGGCAAAGCTGGGTGTGTTTCTCTTACTACATTCAACTCAAACTACCTACAAACCAGGAAATATTGCTTGAGCTGTATTAAAGCTGTAGATCTGAATATAGGGCATCAGAATAATGAACTTTTATGTGGGTGTTTCTGTCATTTCAGGCGTATCCACATCACTAAAGCTACTCTGAATTATCTGAACGGCGACTACGATGTGGAACCAGGAGCAGGAGGAGAGAGAAACGCCTACCTGAAGAAGAACAGCATAGAAACCTACCTCATTGTTGGCTGCAGTCAGAAAAGGGTAACAGAGGAAAAGATGCACTACTAGTACATTCAGAACACTTTATTTTAGTGTTTTAAAGCTGCTACAACTGATTTTTGGGGGGCAGAAGAACCCCAAATGTAAATTACAGCTTACAAAGTGACGTGTTGAGCCCAAACATTTGTTTTTGGAATTCTCAGAGCTGTTGAGTTTAGAGATTATACTCTGTTTTTTTAACAAAGACCCCTTCAACTTTTAAAAAATAATAGTTTCTTTAATTTACCTATATTCATCTAGATAAACTGGTAAAATATTTTTAAAATGTGGGCAAAATTTCTTTACAAAGTAAAAGTTACAGTGCAGATTTTCTGTCATTTGACCGTTAATCGGCTTTGAAGGACTAATGTGCAGCAGATTTTACATTTTCCCAATTTTTTTGTCTCCTCACTCCGTGTAAATTCAAGCATTTCTGAGCTTTTATAACCCCATGAACCCTGTTTGCCATACGTGTTTAAAAAACATCCTCTATGACTCTGACTCACCAACTTGTTGAAATTTAGGAACATAAATTCTGATGTTTTAGTGAAATCCTTTTAAGCTGACAAAATAGAGTTTTAACCATGTCGCAAACACGTCTGCAACTCCATTATCTAGACAATGTGTTGATATAAAACAGAGGGATAACAGTAGATGTGCACTGAAGCTAAAAAAACTGAATTCCCCTGAGAGCCTCCTTGTGTGGGTGTCGAATTATTAGAATCTGACATTTTTCCTAAATCGTGATAACTAAAGTGCAGCTTTTTATGGAGCTATCTTTTAAAAATACACACAAGCCGTCCGTGTTGCGCTTATCGTTGTTTATAAACTGAGATTCCGTCCCATGCGAACTGCGTTTCGGAAGAGGAAAGAGAGTTCTGCTTCATTGCATGAGCTCCAGTTTGTTTATGACTGTTTCTTAATCAGCTGTCTGTCCTGCAGCAGTATCACAAGCTGCAACTATAGATAGATCGTCATGCGAAGTGATATGGGTCTCTCCTTTTTGCTGCCGACGCTGGGAGACAGAAAGGAGATTGTACAATCTAATTACCTTGGTTACTTTATATATTTTATTTTTTAAGGAATCCATCCCATAACCCACTGTATTATCAGATATGAAAGGAATAAAAGAGTTTCTGTCTCCGGAAACCATCTTTTAACACGGCACCAGAAGCAGAAATGTCTTATTTTTCATGAACAACTACAGAATTACAGTCTGTTTCTACTGACTTATAGTTTGAGGAGTAAATAAATGTTTAACGTTGGTGTCTGCAGTTGGAGGAGATTCTCTTCTGGTGCAACAGCATGATGTTGCTGCTGTGAATCAAACCTTTTTATCTGTTGTTGCTGACTGCTGCTGTTGATTTGGTTTTGATTGCTTCTGCTACTGGTCATGTTGTGTTGCTGGAAAAACTATCATCCTCATCAGGAATTGTAATCACATGTAGTCATGCTGTTGTTGGTTCCCTTTGACCTGATTTTGAGATATATGTCAATTACTGCTGACTGGTGAGGGGAATAACATTGATTTTGTTGTTAAGCAGCTCCATGTTTGGTCCTGGCATTCATGTGGATGTTACTTTTACACATACCAGCTCCCTAAACATCGTCAGAGGCCAACCATGTTCCTCACACCTCAATGCACCACAAAAAATGTTTAAGATTGGCTCAAGGAACACGACCAAGAGCTCAAGGCGCTGACCCAGCCTCCAAACTAAGCCTGGTTCTTTTCTGACAGGGCCTCCGTAGATCAGTAACAAGCAACACAACCCACAGGACTCCAACGTAGGTGGTTTTAATACTGTGGCTAAGCTTTAAACACCTCTTGAGATTTCTGGTCCTACACAAACACACTGGAGGGGAACAAAAGACATTAACAGAACCCGTAAGAAACTCGATCTGTAAGTCCTGCTAT